GGTCGCGACATTTACTTAACTCAATCGTATCAGTCAGCAATGCGGTACTTGTGCTTTCAATCCCCATAAAATTCTGCACTGCCGTTGATCTTTATTTTATAAAAATAGGCCTACATAAAATTTACAAGTCTTAATTTTTTGGGTTCTTTCTTTCCATTTTTTTCATGAAACAGGGAATGCACATTTATGCTAAAACTCAGTAAAATTCAAAGGAAAAAGTGTTGCTTAGTCTTGATTACATCTGTGTGCAGTTGCAGTACATACTAAAAATCTTTTTGTTTGAGTTGGCAGGATAATTTATTCAATGATTTATTTCTTATCGATTGCTGACGAGACTAGGTCAAGCTTCCGAAACCACTTTGTGAATTTGTTATATATAGTGTGATGTGAACCAAAACTGAATGCGGGACACTACAATGTTGAGGATGAAGAATGCAAAACATGTTTTTAAAAGAGAAAAATCTGAATTTAACGAAGATAGAAGCTATAAAGCGTCTTGTAGTCGGAGAGAACAAGGAGCTTTGAAAACTTACTTAATTCAACGAGAAGTTTGATAAGTATAATCAAATAACACCGACATAAAACTGAGTTGATCTTTTCTACTAAACAAAACAAATTGCAAATCCTTCCTCTTCGTGACATTTATAAAAAAATTTTATTTTGACTACTGCTTGCCGTTCTTTCCATCTTCTCTTCTTATTATCTAAATAAAATCAATTTGAAGATCAACTCTTGATGGCAATATGATCTTTTTTGGTAGAAGGTCGGGAAAAATTTTGAGTAGCTGGTTTATCGCGGAAATCAGTATGCCGGACCACCTCTAAACTTTCATAATTGACTTTCAAAGCGATAACTGCATCTGGCATGTATTTAACAGATTGCCAAATTGCATATTTTCAATGCCATAATTTTTAGCGTAGCTACCAGCAACAATATTTACTTGATTCATTGAAGCAGTATACAGTCACATCTTGTGCGTTACTTCTAGTTTGAGTACATTTTTAATTTCTCGCGTTTTAGCTAAGATGAGCTTAAACGTTACTTTTGGAAAATGTTCAAGAACTGCAAACAAAGAAAACTCGGAGTAAAAGTTTGTTTCGCATTACAAGTTTAGAGAGAGAATATCTATAGCCAAAAACTTGTTGAACACATACATTAACTAGATTTTACAAGCGGAAACATTCGCAGAGGCAAACTAGAAATCTGTTTTGAGATTTCCATGCGTTGCTGTCGCCATGGCAACCTCGCGTCGAATAGTTAGGAGCGAAGGCAAAGAACCAATAATGTAATATCAATCAAGCGATTATCACAACTGCAAATTAGAAGGCCAAATGAGCGGAAGATCAGTGATGTAGGTTGAACAATAAAAGATTGTGGTCAATAATTGTTCGATTGACTGAGGAGCGAATAATTGAGGAGAGGTAAATGCTTTGTTATACATTAATAAGTGGGCAGCCCTAGGAGGCGGCGCGTAAGCATAAGATAACTTTTCTCTTTTTTTAATGTTTCAGCTATAGTAGGCCTACAGAGTATCACAAGCAAAAAAAGTGGAATTCGGAGTAAAAAAGATTTTTCTGTCTGAAAAGTTATCGTGATGAGCTGGGATACCGGAAGACCATAGCGAGTGTTTTCTTGTACTTGATAACGATCACAGCTTGGTAATATTTCAGTATTTTCTTGTAACAAGCAATGGCAATCTTGGCAATCGAAGCTTATTTATGGCTAAACCGATGTGAATAGGTGAACTGAATCAACTACGACTGCGATTAGCGGCGTTCTACTGCTTCTTTTACTGATGATATCCTAATTGTCTAATGAACAACTTAAGTAACTTAACATGATGGGATGCTTATAAGGTCATTGTCTACCGTACAAACTCATCTTTCTGTCCATAGATTCAGCCACCCCCAGCATGAGGCCAAAAATCTTCAGTCAACATTGTCATCCACTCACAAGCTTCTCCTCCAAAACACTCCCACTTCAGCGTCACTATCAAAAACTTTTGTCCTCAAACACCTTCAGTACGGCAAACGCTGAGCACGCAGTTACGAAATGGCAGATATAAAGAAACTTGAGGCTATAGCAAAAGCAGCTGTGATAGTTGAAACTCACGAATGTTCCTCCTTCATATGGTTTATTTGAATAGAAACTGCAATA